GGTTGTTACCGACATCTGGTGAAAATTTCATGTCATTAGCACCTCTAGTAATATATTTACTGAGAAAAATGTTGACTTGTTCAATACTTATTTTACTCGCTGTATTGAGTTGATAAGATAAAAAAATTGGTATAACTAAATTTTTTTTCTTGTTTACATGAATATGTTCCTTTCTTTTGTCCTAAAGTGTGAAAATAAGTTTGAAAATTCACTTTACATTTTTAGTAATAGAAAAGCACCCCACAGGCTGGAAAAATTCCCCCTTCAACAAACTGAAAGTGGCCCACGGGCCATCAGTTGATAATCAGTTTTTTTTATTTCAATGAACCCCAAAAATTGTCTGTTACCTGAGTTTTGCCTTCTGATTATTTGTTAAATAATGATGAATAAGGATGAATGAGGCACTACAGCAGCACATTTAGCATCTCTGGACACATTTTATTAGTAAAGCAAGGYGCAGAAACGGCTCTTTTGATTGTAAAGGTTGCAGAGCCCTGGGTTAGGCTGTAAAGTGAATCTGCTAAGCCTCTAAAATCAGTAATGAGTGGAGGTTTATTTACAAGTGGCAGTGTGGGTGGACTATAGGCCATTTTCACYGCAGACTTGAAAAGCAAAGGTTTTATTAATAACATTACCAACAGTTCTTTTTCTATTCTCAGTTAGCCACAACAACCAGAATAATAACTAATTGTTATTATTTGTGATTCACACCGGTTCTTTAAAACGTCTTGTGTGAAAAGATTTCCAATGCGATTCAACTTAGAGAGCTTTCACGGCCGCATTTTACAGATTTCACCTACAAAGACCCACAATGTCTGTGTTTTCCACCGAATTCTGGAGCTCATTGGCTCTCCTGAGTGCAGCCAATTAACTGCTGACTCTCGAGTTCACACAATCAGCTCGTTTGGTTTCAGCTGCCCAGGCCTTGAGCTCAGCGTACAGTGACTTGCATTCAATCCCAGACAAAAGAGGTCTTGCCCGTTATCTTTTGTCCCCCCCATACAACTTCCCAGTAGAGTGAGATTTTATAATGCGAGGCAAAAAAAAAAAGTCTGATATCGCAGCTATTTTTAGCACATTGTTCTGCTTTGGCACCAGGATTAGAGGGACACTGCATACAAAATAACCTATAATATGTGGCAAAAACGCTAACAACTATAAGAAAGTCACGGTAATTTAAAACTTATAAAACAAGGGTAGCCACTCAGAGGGAGCCACTGAGTTTGTGAAAATACTTCAACTGTTCCTGAAGGACCTTTATGAAGTTAAAGAAAATAACTTTATTTTGAGTTTGAAAGGAYATTGAGTGAAACAGYAACATTAAACAYGATAAAACACAATTTTAAAGTGTCCGTYACATCATTTTTTTGTAATAAAAATTAACATATTTTAAGAAAGATAACATTAATATACTGCAAAAAGAATTTCACTCTGCTGAGATGAACAGTTGTTGAGATATTTGCATGTGAAGTAACAGGAAGTGATGTCAAAGGGGAATATCTGCATGTGAACAGAGAGTTCCTACAATAACTAATAAACACAAACTGTAGAGAAGAATCTGATGTTTCTGTAGATTATTTTGAGTCACTATCAGAGAGATGAAGAAGAGTCAAAGTTCAAATAATATTGATTCAAAAAATGAAGACCAGAGTTTTCTTTCTTGAAGAATTCCACTTTGATGTCACTTCCTGTTTCATTTTGGCGGAGCCAAGTTCAAAAAGGAAATAGGCCAGTTATGTGACAAAACAAGTAAAATCATGTTTCTTAAATCAAGTTTCTTAAATATAAAGATGTTTTTTTTTACTTTTTGTATTTGAAGGTTATGCATGTCACAGGATCTTTAAGGTAATACTACTAGGATCACCAGAAGTAAAGCTGAACTGAGATAATAGGGATGTCTTACCTCTTTTGATGCCATGGTTGCATTTCGTGCAGTCTTTGGGGCTGAAGGGGCTCCCTCCTCTGGGGATGGCTGGAATCACACTGGAATAAGCGGAGAAGGCGTTGATCCTGCAGGGCTCTCCGTAGCACGCCTCCACCGAGGTGCAGCAGTACACGGGGTGGCCGATCCCTGAGGGTTGTGGACCCGTGCTGGGGCGCAGCTTCGGCCGCTTGCTGCTCCTCGGGCACAAAGCGTGGGGCGGGATGGGAGACGGCGAGCCATCGGGGTGGCTGAAGTGGACGTAGTAGCTTGGGAAGCAGGTGTACGTGTGCGGGCTGATGGTTATAGCCGCTGGGCGGGCTACAGCGTGGGGCGACTGAAGGTGGTGGTGGTGATGGTGGTGGTGGTGATGATGATGGTGGTGGAACACGTCCGACAGCGAGCTGTCCTCCGGTTCCTTATAGGTCTTGTCCTCCAGGAACAGGGCCAGTCTGTGACAGTACTCCACACATCTCTCCTGGGTACAGCAGTAGCAGGAGGACACTTCGGTGTCCATCTGCTCCTCTTTGATCGGTTTCAAAGAGAATCCCAAAGAAGAGCCYCAGTGGAACGTGTGTTGGAAACATCCCTGCCCCGCCATGGCACTCTTCCACTCTGGGTCCAAAGCTTCRGTCTTACACAAACTACAGCATCCCTGAAGAGCTGAGTTCAGCTGGGGGTGGACAGACTCCTCGGCGCCCTGTATTCTGTGCTTCAGTTGTTCCTCATGTTTGACATATGGTCTTTTGGCCTGAGCTGTTTCTCCAWTCACAGGTTTACTGTTTATGTCGCTCTGTTCAAAAGCCGTCGGTTCACTTCCAACCCCCGATTTGGACTCGGTCTTCTTTTGACGCTTGGTTCCGTACTGGGTGCTGGTGAGTTTGAGCAGCGCTGCGGCAGTGAGGCCCGCCTGACGCCGCGGTGTTGGAGCAAACAGGGCCAACCAGTCAATCTCCTGAGCCTGAGCTGTCGACTTCTTYGATTTTTTGGCTCTTTCCTTTGGGACGGCTTTACCGCCTGAAGAAACGTTTTTGGCTTTAGTGAGATCTTTGTCTGTATTGTCTCTGAAAGGCTCCCATTTCTTTGTGAGATTTGTCACGAGGGAACTGTCTCTGTAGAGCAGCAGACTGTTGACAGCCTCAGCATTTAGCGAGGCCATCCTTCTCCTGCGAGGCTTCACTGCAGGCGATGGGAACGTGAGTAAGGCGCCATCTTGGTTCTTTTTTGGTTCCAGTGTTTGCCAATTGGCTGTGGAAGATTTCGTAGGTCRGGATTTGGTCGCGTTTTGAATCGGYCACTCTTTACTTTTTACTTTAARYCTCTTTTGCTTCTTTACCTTTGTATTTTTTACTTTACCAACAACTCCCTTTTCATCCAAACGTGTCAGCAGGACACAACAGGCTAACGCATCTCCGCCYCCCATTGATACACACTTTTTTCTACGACGTGAGTCTTTCTGGTCTCTCTTTTGTTTTCCACTGTGCTCGTTCTTTACGTCTTTCCTTTTCTTTACCCCGCCTCCCTTGTCCTTGTGGTCCTTCCTCTTCTTCTTCTTGGGTTTCTTGCATTTTAGCTGCAGGTTCTGCTGAGCTTTCACCATTGTCCCAGCATTCAGGAGAAGACTTGCCAAAACCTCGTCATCCACTGGTTATCGAGATGATGGGGGTTTCCACTCAGATGGGACTTTCAGCAATCCTCATTATGGACCAACAAACTGAGGAGACACAGACAATTATTACTCTGACTAGTTGTAACATTAGACATGTGATAAACAGTATTTTTAGTCTGGTTTTTATCTATAAAAACCAGACTAAAAATGCTGTAGATGGTTTTATTTTTGTAAACAGACGTCACCATGTTATTTACACTGCAAAGCGCTCTGGGTAAATGATGATGTTTACTAGGACCTCTAGTGTGAACGTCTGACATTCAGACTTTTAAATTAAAACTGGTGCATTGATAAAATGTAAAAACGACTGAAACTGAAAATAGCGCCACATATGTCATTAATTCAYYACTATTTAACTAAATTGCTCCGGGGGGCACAGTTACTGCAGGCCAACAGCTCAGGGGCCGAACATCCAGCAATTAAAGTCATTATGTAAATAAACCAAGTTGTACAGGATCTGTTACCTTTTGAATTAGTTTATTTTGCTGTATTTAATCATGAATACAACATACAGAACCCTATAAAAGTGATAATTAAACAATATCAAAAACAAAAAAGAAGACATTCTGCCTCCTATTTGACACAAATATTTTTTGACATCTCTGACTTGCCAAATTTCTAAACCAATTTTATTTTCACTTTCATAGTTTTATCTTCAACTGCTTGTAGTTTTAACTGTCTTGAGCAGAGGAGCCCAAAGTGGGYCCRGCAGGCCAAATTTGGCCCACCAAGCCATTTGATTTGGCCCACCAGCTGTTGACATAGTTACTAGGTTGTAACCGGTCATACTATGTAGAAACACAGTATTTACACTTAATCATTTCATCCATTGGCCTGATGACTTTACAGGGGCTGTAATGCAGGTAGTTTTCATTCATGGTGCTAACTTTATCTTTGATATATTAAGATTAAATTTTAGACATGAAATACAAGTAACAACAAGAGATATTTAGATTAGATTTAACCACACGTAGATTTGAACACTTTAAAGGGCCACAAAAATTAATATTTTATCAATTTATGAAATATCCCATGAGCCTTTGCTACTTGAACATATGGCAGACTTTCTCCAAGTGCACAGACTAAAACAAAAGTGGGCGAATGCACTGGCTGCTAGCTTTATTGTTAAAAATAAAGGACTTTACTTAAAAAGTATTTGTGTTACATGTATTATATTACTGCATTTGGCCCAAAACCACGGATAGATTTTCATTTTGGCCCTCTCGAGGAAAATGTTTGGGCACCCCTGGTCTTGAGTGTGCARAGAAATGGTTTTTACCAGCTTATAGCCATGTTTCTGCAGTTTCTGTAGATACAAAACATGTCTGTGTTTAACTAAAAGAGCTTATAGTAATTAATGTAGAAAACTGGGGGTTTGGGCTTAAGAGATGAATGAATTAATTGGTGGGCCGTCAGTTGAATAGCCCTGCATTAGTTGATCGTTTCAACCCATATATTGTGTAGAACATAGAAACTACTACAAACTATAACTTTATCTTCACACATTAAAGCTTTTCATCCTTGATTTGTTTTTTTATTCTCATCTGGAACCATCATCATCATCATCATCATCAGCCCCAGAATGCATTGCGTCATTAGAGAAATGGCAACGTGCTTGGGTGAAAAATGTAATATACATTTCTTAAGTACATACTATTTCTTAAGTAATTAGGAGTGTTCATGTATCACAAACAACAACTTTTAGTAGAACAGAGAAATAACATATTAAGGCCAACATGTGCAAATAGTCAGAGAACCCTTTAAAAAATTACAAAACATAACAAATTAATGTATACTGTAGGATCTTTTGTTTTATCATCCAGGGAACAGAACAATCTAAATTGCCAGGTTCATAAATCTGCTCCTATCCTTTAGAAGCAAACACACATCAAAAACAAAAATGAAAATTAAGGTCAAGTATAAATTTACCGTAGAGACCAGTTCACTTTTTTCTACACCAAGGTAAGAGTCAGTTCAGAGGTAATTATTGTGCTTTTTGTTGTTGTTACTATTTTGAATTATTACCTCGATTAAAAACTAGGGCTGTGTATTGGCAAGAATTTGGCGATACAATACATATCATGACAGAGGGGTCACGATACGATATATCCCGATATATTGCGATACTGTAAGCAAGGCGATATATTGCGATTTTTTTGTCCAAAAATTCTATTAAATAAAATCCTCTTACTGGAAAAAAAAAAAAAAAAAAACCAAAATTCATTGTCTCAGAAAATTCTAATATTACAGAGACATACTTTTGATACATTTAGCTATGTTCTGCTTTGTATGTATTTTATTTTATTTGTTTCATATTTCTTATTTCATCCATGTTTTCAATTATTWGACTAAATTTGCCAATAAATAATTTGAAAATATATTTTTGCAGCTTTTAGTTTTTAATATTAATTTACAATATGGTCACCCAACACTTAACAATAGCCTCTACCTCAAGAGGTAGAAGAGCCAAATGGCTGGCTCGCTGCTGCCAACTAGTGGTAAGAGGCTAAACTACAACATTTAATGAACGGCTGGCAGGAAAGTTGACATTTTAAACCTTAATAAAAATCAATACAGGGCTTTAGAATATCGATACAGTATCGGGAAATGAAATATCGCGATATTTCAGTGTATCGATATTTTCTTACAACCCTATTAAAAACTAGAATTATTTCCTCAGTGTTGCATTTATTTCTCAGCCAGTCAAGTTGCAGGTTTACACCTGTACTTCACAGCAGGAGAAACTCCATCCGAGGTGTATTTTCACAGCTGCAAACACTTTGGAGTAGCACAATCACCAGACATTATGCAAAAAAACAGCAATAAAAAAATACACAAGGGGAATATTTGTTTAGTTTATATTATGCAGCGTAAGGCTTCCTGTCTCCTCATAACAATTAACGATAATAGAGCCCGTATTTAAACACGTGTGTAATATTTTTGAATAAATGGAAAACTGCAAGAATAAATCAGTAAACACAGTATTTCACACTAAACACAGAGCGTTGCCTACTCTGTCACACATGAGGTATTACCAGAAAATGATACTCCACCAAAAAGCTTGGGGGCAAACGTTGGTGACATTTGTGTTCTCATATGCGGCCCCCTCTGGGGCGATAACAAGAAAAAATGCTGGAGGGCAAGTACGAAAACAGATCAACGTGAACGCCGGCGCTAAGTTGGACAAACGCTCCCRGAGGAATTCATGAGACGGAGGAGGTCAGATGGACGGATAACCGGAAAGCACAGTTTCAGTCCACAGAAGCACAGATACATGCACATACACAGATACTTTTCCATGTTCAGAAGATGGACTTAAATTAAGTCAATCTTCATTTTGATTTAATTTGCTCTGTGCTAAAAGATGAAGAGAGAAGGAAATAACAGGCGAAGAGTTTCAAATTTTTAAACCGTGATTAGGCTTTTCAGTTCTCTCTTCTACTGTGAAAACTTATCCACAAAGTCGAAGCACCAGTAAATTCTTTACAAGTCCTTGTGACGACTGAATTCAATGATTCTATTTCCAGCATTTTAGGGCCACAAAGCAGTACTCTGAGCAGATGAGTCAGGAACTGACGCTRGTTTCCACCAAAAGCGGTGGCAGAAACGTTCAACGCATCACACGACAGCCTCTTCAGTTTCCATGTCAACAGYCCGGAGCGTGGAGAGCATCTAACGATCAACTTCAGAGCAGAARGAGCTCTGTGTAATTCACTTATCCCCCTGCTCCGTCAAAGAAGCCCACCTCACTTAGCGGAAGCCTTCAGAGCTCCTGACGATTCCACCGCCGGCGACCTTTATGCGACGACACTCGAGTGTGCACCAGAGGGAGACGGATCGTCCTTCCTGCTGCTGAACACGGTTCTGCTGCTGGACCTCTGAGAAGTCAGTCGACGTCGGTCTTCAATCAGACTCTTCAASCAGAAAACCACAGCGCTTTCACAAACATCCATATTCAGACACGAGATCAATTAGAGGACTGCGAGTTGGTGGTTATTTTAGTAAATCTCGAGGCGTTGAACTGATAGCGACACGCTGTAATGATCTGAGTACAGACACTAACATGTCACAGTCACTTTGTGTTCTTTTATCTCACACACAAACTTCTGACCTTTGCAGACAGGCAGCCTGGAAACATCACRGATGATTCGAGCAGCAGTGAGATCTTTTGTTCTGTTTTAAATAAAAATATTTCACGCCACATATAAAACCCAAAGGTCAAGCTTGTATCCGTGTGTCTGCGAACACTTCGCTGTCAGGCAGAAACATTTACCCTTTATTTATAGCTTTTCATTTAATTATTTTTTGTTTTGTTTTTTTGGCATAAAACCTTGAATCTGTTCCTATCTCCAGATGAATTTCATGCAGCATAACATAACAAAACTTGTTGCTGCTAACAGATTAATTTGACAGCTTACTCACTCTGTTGCGGTTTTATACCACTTCATTTAATGAGCGAGCGAGCAGAAAATCGCTATATTTTCCACAATGACAGCTTGAAACCACGTGACGCCAAACCGGAACCAAGATATCCTCTTTTCCATCCGTTTGGAATAAGACTAAAACATTCTTAATAACTCTTCGAACTGCAGTTTGTTAAAATAAATTACTATCCTGCAGAGGTAAGCTTGTAAACAAATGCAAAGCCACTTTAAATCTGGAGTGGAGCTTTTTCCAACTATCTCACTGGCCGGTTTTTAAAGCCCTTATTGGCGAATAACTTAGTGAACCGTGAAATGCAATCCATGAGGAGGGGTGGGGGGAAATTTAATTTCCAGATAACAAGCGGACAGAAGGAGCCTCACATCGAGTTTCTGTCCGTGGATATCAAATCAAGTGGCCCCGTTTGAATAAGACAAGCGTGCAGAGTTGAAGGACAGCGGCTCATTGCAGCTTCATCGTTTCCTGCGACCACATCAACCACAGGGAGCGAGGCGATCGCCGCACAGCTCCTGTTTATTGCTTTATTTTCATGTCCACATGAAAATTTACTTAAACAAGGTTGCAGATTCAAAGCGTTCTGCACAGCATGAAAAGCACCAGCAGCTGCCTGCTACTCTAACCCTGTATTCACAATTATTTTGACCAGAGGTGTCGAACTCAACGACACAGAAATGCTATATAACAAATAGTTCTTGTAGAACTACAAACTAGCTTTCCAAACTACGTTTTATGCAACATTTAAAGCATAAATAAATAAATAAATTTAGGAAAAACTCATTAGCAATAATTTCTTATGCCTCATTCTTCACCAACAACTTTTAGATTGATGTCAAGATACATTCTGCCATGAGCCAGCAAATGAGTCAAAAGAAAGAAAGAAAGAAAGAAAGAAAGAACGAAAGAACGAAAGAAAGAAAGAAAGAAAGAAAGAAAGAAAGAACGAAAGAAAGAAAAGACATAGTAAAGTTGATTCTCTGTCGCTCTTTCTGCACCAAAATCAAAATGACTGAAAATTTAAAGTCAAACTTAATTTTCTTTGTTTGAAAGCTCCACAGCTGTCATTAGAAGAATTCACTGAAAAGAAAAAAACTATTTCACATTTAAAGTATTATCTTTGGTCCTGAATAAAATTTTAACGGGGACTAGATTTGGCCCGCAGACCTTAAGTTTGACAAGTGGTTTTGCAATATCTGTACAAGCAAAACCAAGTTTTACATTTTATACACAGAACTCTCTTCTGTTAAGAGAGTTTATTTTAAACTTTCATGAGGTAAAATGTATTTTTCTACAACTCTATTTTAAAACGAGTCGCACCAAACTACAAGTGTTCAAAAATAATGTTCAAAATCTCTTAAATTTGATCCGTTTATGGTGACTTAAAGTTATGGTTTCAGGGGGAACGAGTCACCAAGTTACTTTTATTAAGTTGACTATGAAGCCGAGAATAAAAAAAGCTAGTTTTACTCACAAAATGTTTATTTTTTTAAATGTTTCAGGTGTTTACTGATGTGTTTGGGAAAACATTAGACTCACATAAGTGTTTACATCTAATCATCCCAATAAAATGTATTATAATTTTAGTAATTTAGATGAACAAGTGGTAAATACAAACATATGCAAAAATCTATAAGTGGATTTTTTTTTTTAGTGTTTATTTAAATTTTTGGTTATGTGACTCTTTCTATTGTGTCTTAAGACACTAAAGCTCAATGGAACAAAACAGATAAAGATTTTACTCAAGAAAAAAATAAATATTTTAACATAAAATGCTCCCAAAAGTATCTGAAATGTAAAAAAGTTTTGCACACGTGTGCACTCAGCCACAACTAAAACATCAAATAATAGCAGATGATCCTGCAGCATGCAGATGTTGCAATTTGTTTATATAAAAAAGCAGTATAAGATGATTTATGGATTATTATATTTTAAATTTGACCCTGTTATTTGCACAGATTAGTGAGGCAGAGGAATGAATTCAAAAAACCATTTAAAATAACATTTTATATGATCTCCTTTTAAAAAGGGATTTGCCCTCAGGTTGAAAACAGCAGATGAAGAGTAAAAGCAGAAGCTACTGGGAGTAAATTGATCCTAAATGAGTCATAAAACCTGATCATTTGGAGATGATGATCTGAGGAGTGAGGAAGAGGAGGCAGAGCTGTCAGACTCACTCAGAGGAAGGACATGATGTGGAGCTGCTATCAGGAGACCTGAGACCCTCTAGGCTTTCASATCACCAAGTCCACTTTCCTGGAGCAAATCCTCCAGCAACTCACCAAGATCCACAGCCCAGAAATCCACGCAGGGATCCAGATTATAGGAAGCAGCGGATTATAATCAGGGTGTGTTTAGACATTTAAAAAGAGGAGGAAGAGACTCGCCCACAGTGTTAATCTGGCAGCATACCGAGGCAGAAGTGCGAAATAATACAACCTAAAAAAAATAAAAACAACAGCTCCTGGTTCAGAGTAAAAACATCCGAACCTCTTGGATCGATCCGAGCCTCGTTAAAACCCGCGAGCTTCGGATAATTCAGTCGACTTGTTGTCGGGAACCGATCACCTCCTACCGGGACCGAATTCAAAGCCCCTCCAAAAAATAAATAAATAAATAAAAGAACCGAGCCGTTTATGTTTTCTGCCTCCTGGAGAAGAAGAACCCGAGTCGATCCCGTCCTCCCGTCAGTTCGGACCCGGTTCGGCCGCGGCTCCGGTGTTCCAGCCCCCAGGAGCCGGGGACATGGTGAGCGGATCCGGTGACCTACTTCCGAAGTGGCATTCTGGAGATAATATTCATGCGCCGACAAAAGCACCGGGACAAAAAATAAAACACCCCGAAAAAACCAAAATGTCCCTGCAGGGGAACCGAACCGGGTCTGGAGAGGTTCTTCACTGCAGCTTCCTGGACGAGTTTAAAGAACTGCAGCCTCTTTTTAAAACGGATTTTATGACTGGACCTCGGTCTACTTTAAGTCAAACTCCCCCCTTCCAGCAGGACACYTTATGAAAGAAGTTTCTCTCTGAACCAATAAAATTAGTTTTAAAAAACGACATTATTACAGGTAATAATACACATTTTAGACATTATGACATATTTCAGACTCAAATACTAAATACTATTAAAAACTCCACACCACAAATATCAAAATGTTCAAAAATSTGAGGTTTTAATCAAAATCCAGAGCTCCTTTGTTTATGGCCCAGTTCTCCTGCTCAGTCAAATTCATTTTATTTATTTGTTTTTACAAACAAACAAATTCACCTTTGCTCTTCTTCTAAAAAAAACCTGAAAATGATTTTTTGTAGTTTTCTGCACACACAGCACTGTAGGTAACAGCCACACTGCAAAAACTGTCCATCTTACCAAGTTTTAAAACCTTATATCAGCCAAAAAGTCTTTTTGATCTTGTTTTGAGATTGATT